AAGAAAGAAAGAAAGAAAGAAAGAAAGAAAGAAAGAAAGAAAGAAAGAAAGAAAGAGAGAGAGAGAAAGAAAGAAAGGCTGTTCTGGAACGTTATTTAAATTGGTATATGCAGCCATGGGCGAGGTGACTTTCTAGAGGGCTCCGTGACAGGGGTTATATTATTGCCCTTGTATGCATTTAACCTTATGAAAAAAGAGGAATTACTCAGTTACCTCATCTGCAAAATGGAATAACAACAATACCTACATCATAGATTAGCTGAGAAGATTAAGTGGGTTAATAACATGAAGATTCAGTGAGGAGTGAATAAAGCATTGATCAGTCCATTTTGGATATTGTCCTTGATCCCTGTGATCTCCGTGAGGCAGGGGGGCTTAGAGGACATTTGGAAGGGCTTGGGTGAGAGAAAAGGAGTTGCTGACTACTTACCTCCAGGGAGTCATCGGCATTCACCATCCAACAGTCTGTCCAGGTGGCTGCCACCAAGAAGCCCGTAGAGCACAGGGCGAAGAAGCAGGCGACGTGCTGAAGAAGATGCCTCATGTCAGCGAGCAGCCGCCGTCGTGGGCAGCCCGGGAGCTGGCACGCTGCAGCCTCCCGGGCCCCTGGCACCGGGGACGCGCAAGCACCGGCCTGCCCCTTCTTCTCACACCCCGCTGCGGGCGTCTTGAGTTGCCGTCGGAGTTACACAAGCAGGCTGTAACCCACACAGGGGTCCTGGAGGTCATTATCCGAAACACCCAGCCTCCAATCAGGAGCCGGGCAGTGGGAGGGCTGCGTTTGCTCCGGGAAAGGAGCCCTGGTCGTGGTTGCTGCCCAGGCCGCGGGCTAATAATGTGAGATGATGGTCGCCAAGGCGCTTGCCAGCGCCAAGACGGACCGAAGGAAGAAGGGTCATGCCCCATGCTGACGCCTGCACACTGTTCTTTCTCAGGCCCTCGAGGGAAAGTGAGCTATTCTCCCCCCTCCCTAAGGAGGCTGCACGGTTGACTGAGTGCTATTTTATGATTAGGACTATTTTAATATTCGCCGACTACCTTAGACGGACAAGCCGCCGGTGAAACTATGCCAAACAAGTGCTTGCTCGCGGGAGTTTGCATTCCAAAGTGTTGGGCAGAACAGCGCGGTGAAGGGTTTCCAGCACCTGGGCCCCAGGCAGAGCCAGGCCCCTAACCTCCAGCATCGCAGGATGGGAGAGAGGCGCTTTCCCACCCAGGCAGCTCCCGGCGGGAATCCTGGCTCTCAGCCTCCTGCGTTGAGGGCACTTGGGCTGCAGCTTCCATAAAATGGGAGTGTTACTACTTTCTTCATGTTTGTGAAAATGAAATGACTTTGTGACTCTAAATCATTTAGAATAGTGCCTCACAAAACTAGCATATGATAAAGATTAATATGACCAAGAATTCCCCTATATGATTACTTTTCTCTCAGTGTTCAGAAATATGTCTGGAAAAAACAACATCCGTTTATGTTAGGAAATTACATATATATTAAAGTTGTTTTTGAATATAGCAGGGGCAACTGTAGTTTTACTTAGAGTCGAATGGGTAGCCTTCTTGGGTATAAATACTCCATAACCTGTAGTCTTAAAAGAGCTTTATATACCCTATTTTAGCATCATCAGACAGACTTCTCTCGAGTCAAATACAAATTTCAGTGATAATAATAAAAAATATTTGACCTGGCTCTTACTGCAAGAAGGAATGAGAAAAGGGGAAGAGAGAGAAATTGAGAAAGAGAAACAGGAATAAAGATTAGAAATGGGTCATTACTCTGAAAAGAATCAGCCACTAAGTTATTTTAGTGCCACTACATGAAGAAATTGCTTTTTTTCTATTTAATAATGACTTGCTCATAGTATTTAGGGTAAAAGGCTAAAACCAGTATTGATACAACATCCTTCAAGAATATTTTAAATAGTAAATTTTGTGACTAAAACTTATGATTTTCTCATTTTAATTCACTTGTATTAAAATATATAAAAGTTAAATTTAAATGTAAAATTAAATCTAAAAGCTGGATGTAAAACTGTATTTGCAATATAAACCCAATTATTGCCATAAATCGGGATGTACATGTTAAAGGTAGTTATCATTATTAGTTTGTGAGACACATTACAGATGCTTTTAATTTTTCTTTAATTCTATTTATTTTATTTAACAATTGGAGAAAATAATACTTATTTTTAAAAATGCTCATTCAAATAACGCAATTACCCACCGTGTAAGTGAGCTGCAATGCACACACACTGCTTTGGTGACTCACAAGTGAATCTTTCCCTGTGCCCTGAAATCTAAAACACTCATGCTCTATTGATCTGGGAGAGGAAACTCATTCCAAAAGCACATGCCCATTACAGGAAAAGTCCTGGACTTAGCTGCTAGCTTTCCACCCAGGGACCTTTCACGATGTACTTTTCCTGCTAACAACGCACCCCAGGGCAATGGACCTTAAACTTGAGTGCACACTGGAATCTCCCAACCCATTTTCTATAAAAGTGCCTGGGAGCTCACCCCTCTGAGATCTGGACTCAGGAAATTGGGAGTGGAGGCCAGGAATTCACATTTATAAATGTCATGTATAAAATTCTGATTCTGAAACTAAGGAGAAGAAAAGAAAAACCCACATTAAAACAGACATACTAATTTTCAGAATCATATACTACAAATCACAGACAAAACTGTGTGAAGGGGGTATCAGAATTACATCTTTGGTAAAACAACAAGATGAAAAACTCTCCTTTATCTAGTACTAAAAGCATGTCCCAAATCCAAATATCAGAACTTAATGGAGAGGATTAAAGAAAGGAGAAGACCTTGGGCACATGCATGCATTCTGCATACACACGTACACATTGATCACTGAAAGTCAGGGATTCTTTCCCAAGAAAGATATAGGCTGCAACTGATTCATTTCATTTCCAACATTGTACTGGGCATTGTATGTAGTTGAAGTTGCGGGAGGGGGCGGCTGTACATGGGACTATGGAACTGTTTCTGAGGCAAAATTTACTACTTTTAGAGAGCAGCATAAGACAATCATGTTTAATGTTAATTTCCGTGAGTGAGGCCATACTATGAAAGGATATCCAAGGAAGGAGAGCCATGCAAGCTAACAGAGCAGGAAGGGCTGTATGGATGGGATGTGAGGGCACTTATAAGAGGAGATAAATGTGCAGGAAGCGTGAGGATGGAGGGTGCATATGCGGAATAAGTCATGCACAAGTCTATACAAACAACTCTCTTTCACCTTCTGCCCATGCTCTAGCTTCCAATATTTAGCTTTATCAACTCATCTAGATTCATTCCATTCAGAGCCTATGCCAATTCCAGTACTAGACTAGGTCCTGGGAAATATAGGAAATAGAAGGTGGAAGCCCTGGGCCCTGTCTTTGCGAAGCTGCAGTAAGGGGACCAGGACCAAGCTCCTGGTCTGAAGTGAAGAACCCCATTCAGATAACTCTGATTATAGCCTGAAGTTAAGAATTTTACTCCCAATAATAGTACACAGATACATTAGGTAGAAATATGCATGGTTTCCCAATGTAGAATAAACATAAAGGACAGCAATCACTATGCCTATGGCTCAGTAGTGTTTACAAAGTGTCAAATATATTATCTCATGTAAGCTCCACGAAGACAGGCAGCTTTGTTTTTTCACCAATCCATTTCAAGTGCTTAAAATTCTGCCAGGCACATAGTAGGTCTCAACAAATATATGTTGAATTTAATTTAGTCCTCACAGCCCCACATCTTATAGAAGAGGAAGGAGTGTTGGACTTGCTCTTTCTGAACCATGCAGGGTCCCCCAGAATAAATACTAGGTTGGCAGAAGTGGCTCAATCAACTTTGCAGCACCAGAGCTCTGTGTTTTGTACAATCCCTACGACATTTTGGTGGATTCATATAAACTGTGTTCCCACTCACCCAGTTCTGGTTGGAACTTTAGAGCCACCTGGTGATGAGGTGAATGATGCCCTCTGCCTGGCACCCTGGATGTTGGTCTACAAAAGGAGGTTAATTGTATAACTAGAAACACTGCAATTGTCCCTTTGTCCTGAAGATGGAAGCAACTCTGCATTTTCAATGGTGAAAAATAGCAAGTCATTCTGTGTTAAGTCTGTCCTTTCTGTTAGTGTCTCAAATTGTTCCTTCTCTATTCATTGTAATAACAAGAGCCCTTTGAAGAAGTATGCTGATTTATACCACATCTTATGAACAATCTTCTCACTCCTTTTTAATTTCCCGATGCCCATTGGAAAAGCCTAAGCAACACAATCAGTTGCTGTTGTCAAAGGCCATGCAGTCTCTAACTAATAGCAAAATGAATCAGTACTTAAAAGCTGGGATCTCTGAGTCAGGCGGACCAGAGTTCAGGCTAAGACATTAATATATATGAGCTCTTGGACAAGCTACTTAATAGTTTGTTCAATTAAATGAGAATTATGAATTCTGTCTAAGATGGCTATGAAAAATAAATAATATCTGTAAAGGTCTTAATACAGTGCCTGGAAAATAATAAGCAATCAATAAATTACAGCTATTATGTTTTTCATGTTATAACCTTGTTCTTCTACATATGTACCATACATATACAGATATATGTATATGTATGTATAAGCATGTGTATGCCTATGCATACATACATATGGACATATATGGCTGTATAAATGTGTGTATATATACATATGTGTGTATGATATATATTAAACAACTTAGTCAACTGAACACAGAAAAAAACTAAAGGTGTAATCATGAAGCAATTTTAGTTTTTTCTTTTATGATCTTTTCAAATCCACTTAGTTTGGGCCAATTCTTCCCCTGCCTCTTGGATAAAATCTAGGAATATTCTCATGACATTTCTGTCATTCACAGGTAATATAAATTCTTCTAGTCATTTCAAGGGACAAAGAAACAGTCTCATTCCAGTGGTACATACACCCATACTCCTGTATATAAGCCAAGCCCATTATATGGAATTGTGCAGGCCTCAGAGCAATGCACCTACCACAGTCTCTGCCCGTTCGATCTTTTTTGGCCTGAGACAGACAGCGGTCCATTATGTCTCTCCAGATCCAGGGAACAAATACCAGGCTTGCAGAATAGATGAGCTGAAACTCCTTTCTCTAGGCTTAAAGTGAGGTACTAGAGCTCTTACCCTCCTCTGTGCTGATGAGAAAGGGGGTCGCAATCCATACCAAGAGCTCTCTCCAAAAATATTTCCTTATATTTTTCTCCTTTTTGGGAGTTAACATTGTTTTTTTCTCTTTCTTTCTTTTTTTGGGAGGAATGGGGGAGGGAGGAGGAAGTGGGGGTGCAGAGCTGAGATGGATGGTCCACTAAGAGCTGGAAAACTGGTTCTAAGACACCTCTTTTGCATCTCCTGCCTGGGGTCTCTCATCTCATTTGGAATGTGGAATCTATTGTCTCGTGACCTCAGTTGAAACTGAGACTAAAATTATTTAAATCAGAAAACCTGTTACACACAGTTATGTGGTGTTTGGCTAGAACTCTAGTGTTCGTCCTGGCCATTACACACGTGGATTTGTTGTGTTTACTGTGGTGTACCACTGCGTAAGATAGACTGGAGCATATCTAGAGGAGAAGGTTCCAGTTAGTGAAGTTAGTGATGAGATTGGCAACCATCTCATATTAGCTGTGACTGAAGGAAGTTGGGGTGAAGAGGGTATTTTAAGTCTAAATAGAAGAGATAGTAAACGTGACAGTGG